TAGCCTCTTCAGGTCTAGGATTGCTCTCCAGCCGTCCGAGGTCTTGGGGATCACGAAAAGCATGGAATAATAACCCTGACCCTGTTGGTCTAGAGGCACCAGCTGGATAGCCCTAATGTCCAATAGGTGTTGAATGGCTTCCTGCATCAGGTGCCTCTGGATCGGGTTATTTGAAATAGGACATGTCCGTATGAAACTCAGGGGGCTGGAGAGGAACTCGAGAGAGAGACCAGAATGGATGGTGGACTGAACCCATGCATCGGAGGTAGACTGGGTCTCAGCGATCAGCGAAATACGCCAGGTGCCCCCTGATGGGAGGAAAGCCGGGCCTAGGGTTAATTCTTGCGGAAGGAGCACCCGCCTCCTCCTCCTCTGCCCCCTTGAAAGGGCTGCTTCTGCTGCCTGCTCCTCTGCTGCCTCTCTGGGGGGTATCTCTGCCTGGGGGTAGCCTTCCTGGTACTGGCGAAACCTGAATACCCCAAATCCAACCCCCTGAACGAGTCCTGACCCCGGAAGGAAGACCCATAGTCCTGACCATGGTCAGTGGTTCATCTGGGGTAGGGAGTCGCTCTGGAGTCATTCTTTCTCTGCACAGTGGGAAGCACCTTCTGCTTGTCCTTGTTCTCTATCAGGAAGTGGTCCAGAGCTATGCCAAAGAGCCCCCTCCCCCATGAAGGGTGCTGATGCCAGGCACCACTTGTGATGTACGTCCCCTTGCCACTGCCAAAGCAACCTGCGGGATGCTAAAGTGGAGACGATCGCCCTGGATGCAAATCTGGCTGCTGCTAGGGTGGCGTCCGAAGAGAATTGGATGGCTGCCATCAGTTTGTTGATGTCTTGGTGAGCCCTGACATCCCCTATTGGGATCCGCTGCTAGAGATCCTGTGGCCATAGTAGTGAAGACCAATTGAAGGAGGAGGCAGTGGTGGCTACCTTTACTGCCCAGATCGCAGCCTGATGGCTCCTCTGCAAGGTGAGGTCTGCCTTCTTGTACTCCGGTTTCAGAGTGTCCTCTGGTTCTCCAGGCAGGTTTGTAGGCATATGCAGCGCAGTGACTAGTGCATTGATGGTGGGCTGCGACATGTGTCCACCTTAAAAAAGGCTTTATCTGTGAAGGTTGCCATCGGCCCCGAGGTGGGAGATGCCCATTGCCTTCTTATCAGGTCAAGGAAGGACTTGGGTGTGGGCACCGTGTCAGCCTCCACGATCTGCTCCTTGACTATGGTCTCAGCCGAGAAGCCTTGAGGTTGCACTGGCAGTTCTGAAGGTCTGTTGCCAAGTTTAGCTGCCGTCTTTGCTTTGAATAGTAAGGACTTTTATAGGGAGGGCTGGAACAGTCTGGAGCAGGAGGACTTTGAGGAAGGGACGCCCTTGTCCTCGGAGAGTCTATCCTCTCTGAGCTCCCCTTCTTCAGATTCCACATCGCTGTCTTCATGGGAGGACAATGGGGAGTCAGCGGGGTCTTCCCCTTGGCCTCCAGCCCCTCAGGAACCATGGGTAAGGGGGCCACATGATGCTGCATCTGGGGCTGTTGGAAAGCAGCAGCCATGCACTGCTGAAACGCCCTCATCATTATGTCCTGGAAATTAGGTACCCCTGGATGGGTACTCCGGCTCCCATACCCACAGGTGTGGGAGGGAGGGGTTGTAGTGAAGGGCCTATGGTGCATGGAGGGGATTGCCATCGCTGCGGAGCGCCCCAGACCCCCAAGGTGTCAAAGGGAATCCTCACTTGAAGGGAAGGATCCTCTTCCATAGCTCTGTTGGGGGAGGAATGCCCCAGTGGCCTCTCATCTGATCCCAGCCCCTGCGAGGTCTTTCTGCTGTTGGCCTTGTGGCATATTCGCTCTAAAGCTTTATACCTCTGCTTCTCATATTTGGAGCCTGGTTTGGTAAGTTTGGGACCAGCACTCGGCTCCTTAGGTGCCTTGGGGGCAAGGCGCCTGGTCTTTCTTTTAGACTTGCCGCCCCCTCCCTTAGCAGTATCTTTGCTAGCTGGAGCTGGTGAGAGCTCCTCCGCTCCTCTGGTGAGACTGGCTGTAGGCATGAGGACCTGGCTCCTGCTGGTGTCCTGTGTGTTCATGGCAGTCGCCATCTTGGATCATGTGTTCAAAATGGTGGCTCACGCCAAAATTCAAAGCTCTGTTCCTCTGGTGTGGTTGAACAGCGGCTTGTGCCCTTGGGCTTCTGTGCATCTTCTCTGCAGGTGGAGATCTCTCTCTTTCTCCCCCGCCTTCGGCGCTCGTTCTCCAGCTCCACCGGCCCCCTCCGGTGTCTTAGGACAAGCATGGGCGCTCTGCAACGTTCCAATGCCGCTGTTTGTTGCTCGACTCTTGAGGGGAGTGGTGGAGTGCTCCGGCACTGTTTCAGGTTTTTTTCCCTTGCCGCTCTGTTTAAAGAAGCGGCGAGCCGGCGCCTCATGAGGCTTCTTTCTCCTTCTCACGGGGTTTAAAAGGCTGAGAGTGGCTGCAGGATTATTCCTAGTGGCCAAATCTGTTCACCGCAGCTAGTGGCAATAGGCGCTACTCCCGCTGGTGGTTTTGCTGTCCGCCAAAGTACTCACGCTTCAGAGGAATAGCAAGTTTGCGCTTTAAATTAGTTTTTCTTTCTTTCTTTACAATTTTTCAAAGAAATCAGTATGACACAGCCGTTATGGGACTGAGTCGATAACTGGGTATTACCTGGTGATGAGGGCGTGGTCTAAAGAGCTTATTGGACTCAGTCCAATCAATGAGGACAAAGTTAACCCATCCTGGATACTCCTCCCCTCACTATGGAGAAAAACAAGCCATGCAGTCTTCACATTCTCAGGTAAAAAATAAACTAGCAGCATGTATGGGTATTCAACAAGAGAAAGAAGTACAGTACATGTAAACATCTGTCAGGATCAAGGTTCTGGTTGAGAATTAATTAAGAACATAATCTTCAGTTCTCAAATTTAAGTTTGAAATTGATTACTGTATTTTTCGGAGTATAAGACACACCTCCCCCCCCTAAAAGAGCATGGAAATGTTGGTGTGTCTTATACACTGAATACTTATACACTGAATAAAGCCATTTTGGGCCCCGAAGCCCTGTCCCTACATCCCATTTTCGCTAAAAACAGGAGAAAAATGGGCCATTTTGCTCAAAAATTGGGGCGTTTTTGTCTTCCCCTTGCCCTGCTGAAGCCTGCAGAGTGCTCCTGGGGGCTGGGGAGGACAAAACCTTTTTTTCTTACTTACCTCTTTGAAATCTTGCTGCGTCTTATAGTCCAAAAAATACTTTTAAAGTACTTCTAAAGCAATAACCTGTAAATCTCTCTAAACTCCCTAAATTGAGAAAAGAGTTATTAATCGTATGATGGTGACTTTGGTAATTGTAAACTCAAGTTTTAAAAAATACCAGCAGGCCATACAAAACTACTTGGCAGGCTGCATGTTGTGCAAGCCTGCTCTAGATTATTGGTTGTACTATTCATTTAATTTCTTCAAGTCAGCTGAATTTTTTTTTCATTTCAATATCTCAATCTTAAAGAACTATAAGCTTTTTGCATTTTCTTTTCTCTTATGAAAATAAGCATGGAACTTGAGCTGGTATCTGAACTTGAAGTAGAGAACTGTGTCCTGCATATCCTGGTGCCTCTGAATTGGTGTTGACTACTGGAGACTGCCTGGATTAGTTCCTGTGGTTTTCTTGGCAAGATTTCAGAAGTGAATTGCAGTTGCCTCCTTCCTAGGCTGGCCCAAGGTCATTCGGCTGGCTTTATGCCTAAAATGGGACCCAATAATGCCAGTGTTCAATACGTATAATAAACAACATCCATTAAGAAAGGGTTAATGGGAAAAAAAGGCTTCATTTTGTCAACAGTCAGCAGTACAGAAATAGTGTAAATAAATAAAAAACCATAGAGAAGAATAGTACTAACATTACAAACACAACACAAATATTTTTAATATACATCACAACAATCATGATTTAAGTATCTATGTTGTAATAATCTAGTGTCTTAATTAAACAAGCTAAATATCATATGGCCCCAAACTGCATTTGATAGGCTGATGAACTAGTTACCAGTAACATCAATTATATCATCCATTTAGAACAGAAGGGCAAAATTGCTTAGATTAGATGAGAGCTAAGTCCTTATTTGACTATATCCAGTAAGTATTTGTCAAGTGTCCACAGATCCTGAAAAATACTGTATGAATATGAATTGTCACTATCTATTTTTTCAGAACCCTGTTTGCTGGATGGAAATTAGTTTTAAAATAAATGCAACAAGGAACAAGTGAATTATGTATTCCTATTCCAGTATTTGTGTTGTGTGCATATTTTCACCTGTCTGAAAAAGAGGGCATACAATGTTATCAGAGAACAACAAGAAAAATCTGGTGGACAGTTGACTTCCTATCCAAGAGGCCCGATAAATTTGTGGCAGGTGGGTTTAGGTTTACAGAGATTTTTGAAGTCATAAATATTGTTGCTGGCCGTTCCTGCAAAGGCTGCAGCAGCAAAGTTAATGAAGGCCGGCTACTGACTTTTTATTATTGATTGGGAAGGGATTCTTAAATTTGACATGAGACAAACATATTTTCCTAACTCCTGTTTCGGAGAGCGAATCGCCAAGTAGCCCCACGCTCACTTTCCTAAGTCCGAAACAGCAACCCTACTGCGGCACGCCAACATGTTAGGTCCCCCATCTTCGACAGGTATCCCCTATCATGCAGACTGGACTCTTCCTACTCGGCCGGCTGCTTTTAATCTTTGCCTTGCTATACACGTATCCGTCGACTGGTCAGCAGCCCCGCCGCCTCCCGCCTCCCTTTCTCATTCATGCCTTCACCTCCGCCCCCGTCCCTCCCCGCGTCCTTCCCGCCGCTCGCCGGTCTCTCGCTCTGTCTGGCAGCCCCCACCTTTTCCCTGCTCGCTCCGTCTGGCAGACCCCCCGCTCCATTCCGCACGCTGGCGCTTCTCGCGAGATCTGGGGGATGCCGACGTTACTGCTGCTGCCGCCGCCACCGCTGCCGCCTTGGAGGGGGAGACACTGTCGGCGGGGGGGTGGGGAGCCAGTGACGTCGGGAGTTTTCCTCAAAGTCAATAACGAACCTGGCGAAGGAGGCGGCAGGAATCGAGCCGAGCGCTGGGGCCCGGGCCGCTCCGGGTGTATTCAGTTGGGGAAGAGCTGCCGCCGCTCCTAACTCCCTGGATGCTGCGGCCGAGCTGCCCGGGCGGGCGCCTCCCTAAATAGCGGGACAGCCACTATCGATGTAGCCGCCGCCCCGCCTGCATCTGTCAGAGCGGCGCCAGCTGGAGTGGAAACCTTCGCAAACCCAACACCAAGGTAGACCGCCGTAGCCGTGAAGGACTCACCCCCGGCAGGGGGGACAAGGGAGGAGAGATCGTGGGCGCCCCCCTGCCCGGAGACCCGCTTCCAAGCCAACGGCCGGCACCAGCCACCCTCGCCTTTTGCTGCAGGTAGGCAGGCTCGCAATCGCGCTGACAGGCGGGGGGGGGGCTGGGAAGACGGGCGGCGGCGGGGGGGGGATGTTGGAGGTTGGCTGGCTGGGCGCTGGTAGCTCTGGGGGCACGTGAGGCGAGGGTGGGGGGCAGGCAACTGCTCCGGCTCCTTCTTCCCGCTCCCTGTGACCCACCGCGGCGTCCCCCCCCCCGCGCCGCCATCCTAAACGCGCCTAGTGACAGGGAGAGGGAGGCGGCGGCGGCTGCCTCGTTTTCGCAGCTCCTCCTCTTCCTCCTCCTCCACTTCGAACCAGCGCATGCAGCAGCTGAGACTTAAAACACAAGTCCTCTTCTGGTGTGTGTGTCCGGTTGGCGGGGCCTGCCGGGCTTCTGTAGAGGCAGGAGGGTTATGTAACATTAATATACCCCGTGTGTGTGGGGGGGGGGGAAGGAGGGAGAAGGTGTGCGCTTGGCCACGAGGCGCATCATAACAACACTCGCGCGCGCAGCCCACCCCGGTTATTTGTACGGACTGCTTGTAGCTGAAAGGCCGCTGAAATGGATGGCGCATTACAGTTACACGTTTCGCTTCTCTCATATGCCCAGCCTCCCTCCCTCAGGAAACACTCTTTGGTCGCTGTGCTTCCTCCTTAGATGTTCTTATCTCTCCTTACATTCTGTTCTAAGGCGTAAATGAATGTAAAATGCACTTAATGAAGGATCCTTTCCGCTTTCTTCCTGTTAAAAACAAATCTGCGTTCTAATAATAGAGACAAGCAAAAAGATAGCCTGCTCTTTTCTTGCAGAAGTCCACTAATGCAAGTAAACAAAGCTGGCTTGTTTACATCACGTCTGCTGGACAGCCATGGTTACTGCTTTGCATATAGAGGTATCGATGTACCTTGTGGCATGTCTGATAACTGCTTTCCTTCAGTTTATGCAGCCCACGATACAAAGAAATTAGTACAGTCTGAAAATTTCAGTGCAGTCTTTTCCAGTATTGTATATGGGATTTTCTTTTCAGTTAGTCAGTTACTACAGTTAAAACAGCATAGTATTCTTCTCAAATAGTTTAGTGTTTCTTTCACAGAAGTTTAATTTTATTATTATTTATACATTATAAATGATGTACTTATAATGTTGACATATAGGATTGATGAGATAGCATCAAAATTTTTGTTGCCTCTGCTTAAAAGTTCTGCTTTAAAAAAAATATTCAAAATCATACAATCATATAAGTTATGAAGTAGGCAAACATTATTTATATTTCACAAAGCTATATAATTTGTACACACAGGAGTAAACAAAATAACAATCTGAGGACTAAATTAAATTTGCAAATTACTACTAGAAGTAAACAGAATGCTTTATGAACTTTTAATATAGAATAGTCTCTTTGTTTCCCTAGTAGGAATTAACATATAAATGAGCTACAATTTCAGCTTTACATTTTTAGTAAATATTTTCCAGATGCATTTCTTCTGTCTTTCCCTCCTTTGTTTGCTTGTAGAAAGTTTATTCTCTTGGATGAATCAATTTTGCTCTAAAAATCCTAACTGAAGTTCTCATTATATTTTTATTTACTCTCAATGGAGGGCTTTAAATTGATCCCAGGATCTTTCATTGCATTGATCGCTTATTTGTATTTGTTAACTGGACAAGTTAAACATGTTTGTTCAGAAAAGGAATGTGCATAATTTATAACTATCAGAAATTCTGCTTTTCTATATTTGGTTAATGAATTTGTTTTGGATTTGTTTTCACAAAGATCTTTCCCTTGTTTTGCAGTTATTTTGAATGTTTGTTTTACATTATTTAATTTTGTAGAAATTATTATAGAAGCTGCTATTATATAGTATTTACGGTGCATTTCAAATAAAATTTGATTTTTCATGGATTATCACTGATTTTCCTAGCTTGCAAATAAGACATGCTTTGAATTGGAATCTAATATATTGTTTTATCTGTTTTTAATTTAAAGAATACCACTTAAACATACTATTTTATCTTTTCATATAAACAGCTCATTGGGAGTAGGAGGTAGGAGATAAGTTCTTCTGAGTTCAAAGAGATTTATTTCCATCTAAAAATACATGTGATTAATGTCTTAACATGTTATTCTGGATAGAATCCTTGTGTTTCCATTGAAGGAACTGGATGTATAAATACAAAGGGGAGAGACAATTTGTCCTTGTAGCCACTGCACATTCTGTAAACCTACTACTGTATGATATATTGAGGAGGAACCCTGAATAAACTTTGAGAAGTATGGAAAAAGAGAAACCTCATTGTATGAATAGATGTTTACATATGCATATTTCGCTTCACTCATTTTTTCTACCTGAAAGTAGTAATTATGCAAATGGCAGTCTAAATTTTTGAAAATGGTTTGACAATTCAGGTCAGTTTGTACTATAAATTGTGATGAAAATACCATATAACAAACTTTGTAAAATGGTCTAACTATAAAATGAGTAGATACACCGTAGATATATAAATTTAAAGCTATAATGGCAGTTGGGGCAGTGACTATTGCTCCCAACTCAATTCACTCCCAATTTAGCCCATTGTCTACTTTTGTTTACTTATATTCATGTCCTAGTGAAATAAATGGAATTTACTACAGAAAAGTCTGATTAAACTTACAGTAGATGGCAGCACCTAACAGCTCTTGGTTGATCTTGAAAAGCTGAGTAGGGTCAAACTAGGTAGGTAGTAGGACGCAACACCATTGGGAAATCTCAGGATATAGCAAAGACTAGTATATTGAAAAAGTTCCATTAGAAAGCAGGGACAAACTGCTTTCATACTGTTGCACTATACTACATTGACACATGCAAATAATTATATTAGGTGTTCAATTTGAGCCAGACTTTTTCAAAGATAATTATTTTTCAAAGTCTGATTAAATTTGGACTGAACAGGAAATTTTTTTTAGTCTGCAGTGCAGTAGGATTTAGAATTAAGTGGCATAGTTAAAAATAAAGAATTAAAGTTTGGTTATTTTTTCTTTTTAAATGGAGACCCCAAAATCATCTCTATAACTTATTTAGGAAAATAAAGCTGTTTTATCCAAAAGTTATGCTGGAAGCTATTTCTGTAGAATTTGTTAAGGCTTACTACTAAGTGTTATGATCTATAGTTAACAGATCAGAAAACTATAGTTCTTGAAAGCGCTAGAGTATACTAATGTGCTTGAAAGTTGGGAAATACTTTGAATCACCCTGTTTATTACAAAATATTGAATATTGTGTACATTTTGTCCATTGCCACAGTATGATAGTGAAAATCTGGGGAAAGATTGAATATATATGAATAATGACTAATTGAGCAAATTCTTAAATGGTTTAATTTCTATTTTGAATAAGAATGAACTATTCTTTTTTAAAGTATATTTTCTACTAAGCATTTTAAAACAGGATTTCAGAATTGTTTTTTTCTCACATTACATGCTTCTTCAAAACAGTACTAAAACAGTACAGAAAACAATACATATTAATTAGCTTGGGCTGATTTTATTAATTTAAGAAATTGTGGAGAAATCTTTTCTGTGATCATGAAGACCAAGTACATATCATAAAAATCAGTTACATGCTTATAAAGCCTCTTACACTACATTTGAACATAGCTTGTTTATGAATCGGATTGTGATAAAAAAGTATCAACAGCATCCTAATTTTTGTTGTGCAATGTTTCAGTAAAATTGGGTTTCTTAGAAATTTGCCTGACAGATTTAAGAAAGTTTTCCAACTAAAGCAGATCACATATAAGGTGATAATGTCACTTTTGATATTGATGCTTATATATATATCAGTAAAAATGTGAATAAACAGCTTGTAAATTATGTGTTGCAAGTTGTATAGGATTTCTTGGTGCCCTGATTCTGAAAGAAATAGATACTTTAGGAAATAGTTTCATTTTGTCATGTTTTGTTATGTTTCCCTTGTCTTCTAAAGATACTCATTCAGGCCTTTAGTATATAAATATTAAAATATCATCTTGAAGTTAACAGCCACAGCTATATTATCAAAATGTTGAATTTTATAAATTCTATTTTTAAATTGGAAGCTTTAAAAAGAGGAAGGATAAATGGTTTTATCTCATGGTTATAATGGAAAACATGTTTTCTGCCCTGAGCATAAACTGTTATAGAGATGCACATTATACCAATTTAGGGCATAATTACTGATGTAGAAAGAGATGCTGAGTAGATGAAGCAATTGCTGTTTCATGTAGAAAGTATTATGTCCATTTCTTCTAATATATATTTCTTAAAATCATATTTTTACAATCATGTTGTTTACAAACTTTATTTGCAAGAGTTTCCTGCTCCTTTCACAGGAATTGATGCAGAATGCTATAGAGAAAAAGAGAAGGCAAACAAAAAATAGAAAATGTTCTCCTATGAATATGAATCTTAGACTTACAATCAAAGAATTAGAACCCAATCTTTATGTTTTGAATGCACTTTATTGGGTGAGTGCCTATTGTAGAGATTACATGTAATTCCCTTAGATATCTCTGAGATGCTTAATGATCTCAAAATCTTTTTTTTTTATAGTTTTTTTTCAGATTGCTTAGTATTTTGTTTTGATTTTTCATCTCTGCTCAGTTGGGATCCAGAATTAATTATGTTTCTTCATTGCTGTAGTGTCTGTTCTTTTGTTTATCAGACATAACTAAAATTAAAGGAAATAACCAAAACAGAATATTGTTTTGGATTATGGAAATTACTATAAGGCAGTAAATGTAAATGTGTCACAGAAAATGTGGCATTTGTGATTATTTGATTATCAGGTTAATCAAAGAATGACCAGAATTATTTTTATAATTAAACCAGATTGGTCTAATGGTTAAGGTACCAAGCTAGAAACTAGGATACCATGAGTTCAAGTACCATTTTAGCCATGAAAGCCAGCTGGGTAACTTTGGGCCACTCTCATTTGTTGAGAAAATAGAAGAAAAGTGTTGGATATATTTGCCATTTTGAATTATTTGTAAAAATAATAAAACTAAGA